GTTTTCTGGATTAAAACAAAAAACAAACGAAAAAACAATTGTTGATTTTGACACATGGTAACTATATGTGGTGAGTATGACTGCTTCATGGGGTTCTCATGACTGAGACCCTCAAGAATAGATCTTTAGTTCTCTCTTTGGTAACATCAATCTTTCAGTTAGTAGTTGAACACTTAATTGTTTGTGCCTGATAACTTGGGAAGGTCCTTCTATAAACTCTTGTTCTGAAAGAGAACATGAGGCTGTCTGCTCTTATAAAGAGTTATAATCTAAGAAACTCTATACAGTGTCACTTAGTCAGAATCGACTCAATGGCAATAGGTTTAATTTGGGTTTGGGTTCTATTCTTCTATCTGACTATTGGGCATAATTGAATGTGAATTGGGTGTTTTATGTGTCAATTGAACTAGGTTATCTTGCCTTTTATTCAAACCAACATTAATTTGGGTGTTGCTGTGAAGACATTTTGGAAATATGGTTAGCATCGACAGTTAGTTGACCTATGTAAAGGAGACTGTTCTTAGTAAAATGGGTAGACCTTATACAATCATCTAATCTGTTGAAATCCCTTAAGTGAAAAGTTGAGGTTTCCCTAAGAAGGAAAAAATCCTTCCTTAAGAAAGAAGCATAAATCCTGTCTGGGAGGTTTTAGTCTGCCATCTATCCTACCGATTTCAAATTGAATAGCCCCAACCAAACATGTCAATTCCTTAAAACAAAATAAGTTTCCTACTACATACACAAACACCACTCTATAATACATACATAGTAATATATATATATATAATGTGGGCTTCAAAAAGTTTGTGGTAAAAAATGGAATTTTTCCGTACACTTTTTGAAGCATACATACACACCTGTGCGTGTATAATGACAATTGATTATGCATGTGTGTATATATCTATCCTTTTTCTCTAGAGAATCCCAACTGATGCACACAAGAGGTGATTTACTATACTTATCTTTTTTCAGTTATTCTTTTGTGTTAGGCATGGTTCTCTAGAGAAACAAAACCAGGACACTTATGATTAGATAGATAGATAGATAGATAGAATTTATACAGAACAAAGGAATATAATGGCTAATTAGTTCACAGAGCCATACAGAGGACTCAGTGGAACACTTAATATACTGGAAGTCCTTCAATTTATGAGCCCAGGTCCAAGGTCAAAGAAGCAGACAGCTGAGTCTTCCCTTGGGCAATGCCAGCAGACTCCCCCACAGGCAGCAAACAGCAGGGTGGGTCACTGAGATAGTTTATTGTGCCAGCTTGGCTGATAAACGCAGGTGGGATTGACTGAAGGGCAGAGAGATAAATGGCTTGGTGAGCCTTGCCTTTCTTGTCTCTTGCTCTGTGATCATTGGACCAGTGTGCGGCTGCCTTGCTTGTTCTGTGCCTCGATTTAAAGGCTACACTACCCGTGGGACGCCTAGCCTGTGGACTGTGTCACTGTAAGTTGAGGTCCCTTTAAGACTTCTCTGGAGCTGGGGACTCGCGGTTGGTGACCTGCCTTGTGATTGGATGCTGTGCTGACATAGCCTAGCTCTCTCTACAAATAGAGGAAGATCTGGTATCAGACAGAGACTTGAAGGACTGCTAGTCTCTCAACTTTCTCTCACGGACGTGAGTTGCACTAAGCCATTTGTAGTGCTTTCTAATTTAACTGTTTATTTCTTGTATTATATATTCATCTGTATATGATTTAACAGTTCATTTCTTGTTATATATCTAATTATCTTTATAAATAAATATATTAAATTATCAGGAATTTAGTTTTATCTCTCTAGAGAACCCTGTCTAATACAGTCACCAACAGTCAGCAGGTCAGGAGCTTTGCAAAGTAGCCCTGGATGGGATATTGAACTCAAGCTATGCAAGATGACAGGATCCACCAGCTTCAAGCTCAAGCAATGTACACACCAGCAGCGTGGTGAAGTAGGTCTAGAAGGAGCTCAAGCTCTAGCGACATGATCCACTGGTTGGCTTATCTCAGAGGTATTGTGGCCCACAAGTTGTGGCAGAGAAGTAGCTGAAGCAGCTCCGTTCCAATTACCAGAGAGCAAGAGAGCCAGGGGTGGACCTTGCTGAGCCATTTATCTCTTTGCCCTCCAATCAAACTGCAACCTGATTAATCCCACATGTTCCTATTGGCCAGGTTGGCACAATAAACCTACCTATCACATCATTCTAGTGTCTCATTTGCATGATACACTTTTACTAAAACAAAACTTGAGCAGCTCCAAACTACACAATCCATTTATTCCATTCCTAGACAATTTGTTTGGCCCAGGTCAGGTAGCCTGAGCCCATGGTGGAGGGAGCATGCCTACACTGGTAGTGGCAAGCATGGCTTGCCTACAAGATTCATGAGCACATAATCTGGGTTCTAGGTAGACAATAAAATGAACATAAATGCCAAGTGGACAATGCATTTATAAAGTATAGGTACATAAAGAGGTCAGAGTCAAACCTGCTTGGCTTGCTACTCTGTGAGTGTAAAGGCAGAGCCTGTCTACAATATAAAAGCCCCGTTGTCTTAGTGGACATCTGTTTACCCAGTGATGGCAGCACTGTACTTCCCAAAATGAACGCACAGAAGGACAAACGGCCATGAGAAGAGATGTCATTAAGGGTGTAAATCTGCTTTCATATTTGCTAGTCTTTTGCTAGCCTGTCCATAATTGCGTGAAAATAAACTCCCAGGAAAAGTGAGCCTAAAACAATGACATCACTGAATGCAGTGTTATTGTTCTCAGCGAACACTTTGTGTGGGCTCCCACATTAATTTTCTTGCTTCTGAGTTATTTTTTATACTTCACCCCTTTTCTTCACCGTAAACCTTCCTCACAGCTCTGACATATTTTGAAAAAAACATCTTTGCTCTCACTTCTTGGTTTACTACTGTCCTGCTGTGCATTTCATGATACCCCAGCAGCCTTTGGTTTAGTCTTTCATCACATCGATATATGTAATTTTCATAGACATGTGGTAATTAGATACATGTGAGTATAAGCAATGGCAGGGGCAAATTATGTTTCCAGATGAGAAATCAACCAGGGGCATAGTCTAGCATACGCTTCTAAGGCCCAGCTTCTCTTAGAGAAGCCAGGGAGTTTTTGAGGAGTTAATGAGCTACCAGAACCTCTAAAAGCAAACCCGTCTCTGCAGGTTTGATTCTGACTCGTTGCTACCCTATGCATTCAGAGTAGAATGTGCTATGTTGGGTTTTCAATGGCAGTGATTATTGCCAGGCCCGTCTTCTGAGGTACCTCTAGGAAGACTAGAATTGCCAACTTTTTGGTTAGTTGTCAAGTGCTTAATGTTTGTGCCACCCAGGATTTCTACCATAACCCCCAAGAGGTTGTTAATGGCCCAAAAGGATTACTTTTAAGGTGGTGGCAACCCATTTGGCTTTACATGCACCTGACCGAGGAAGGCAAGACATAATAGGATCAGGTTTCACTGCACTCTGCTTTACTGAGCTTCACAGAAGCTGCAAGGTTTTTGTTGTTTGTTTATTTGCCAATTCTGGGTTCATGGTGACTAACTGGATAGCAAGTCTACCTATGCCATTTTCCCAATGGCATGTGCTCACTTCGTGTTTCTGTTAAGTTTTGGTAATTCCCACAGTATCTCAACATTTTCTCATAATGCTATTGCACATTTACTAGTATAAACATAACTTTCATATTCAATAGGACATAAAAAATACTCTTGGACTGGTTTTACTTTGATATCTGATTCATCACATTGGCCTGGAACCAGACTTGCAATATCTATGAAGTATAAGGTATTTGACCACCGATAACAAAACTATGAAAACACAAAACCCCAAACCTTTACCTCTTATATCACCATCCTGCTCAACTTTCTTGGAATGCTCAGCTTTCACCCAATTGCTTTCCAATTCTCATATTGGTCCCCTTTTCTCAGATGGCTTCTCTGCACATCTTCCTGGCTTGGTTTATTTCTCTGTCCTCCGCAGTCACTTCTCTAAGTGGTTTTCCTTTCTTTCCTACTGTGATTTCCATGAGTTTCTCTGGCTTCTTCTCCCTTTTCCATTTTTACCTTCTCTCGTTGGCTACTCTTGGGATCTTCCCCTCCCCCTCCATGTTAAGTCTTCCTGCCCCACCTATCTGTTGTGGCCTTCATCATTGCTTATGTGCTTAAACTCCTCCAGTGACTGACGTTTTCCTTCTGGAAGAAGGGAGATTTATGAGTGTGGAAAACTAGCTACAAAGACCCCAATGCATTCCATTTGTAGCACAGTCCCTTTTTCAGCTCGCTGGTGTCTTTGTCCTAGGATTAGAGATGGACCACTTACTGCAGCTCACAATGGGGAATCTCTTCAGGCTTGATTTCTCAGCCCTTTCAATCACAGGGCAGAGCAAGGTGTGTCTGGGTGACTACGCTTACACTGATTGCTAGAATGTTAAAATTGTCTTTCACTGAGGAAAAACAAAACACAGAACTTGCTCCATTCTGCCAGGAAAAGAAAGCACCACTGTTAAAGAATATGATGGATCAGACTCATTCCCCTTGGCCCCATCATCATTTTCCCCACAGCATGAACAAAAATACACAGATAGGTTCTTAAGGGAAAAGAACAAGAGATTTTCTGGGTCACCCTGACTGAAGGGACGGTTCCTACAATGCCAACTCAACCTAGGGTATTCCCAAAAGGAAGGGCAGATGGCTTCTTCAAGGACTGTGTGATTTTATCACTGGGTCTTAGACACGGTCATCAACACACCAAATACATTTGCTGCTGAGATACTTCACCTTAGCTCTTGGATATATTGAAGTATTAACTTTCCAGTTTTCTTGATTATTTGAAACCATTCTTTCTTGTGCTTTTTAAAACATCAGTATGGCCATGAATTTGTTTTACCTTTCTGCGTTTGTCACCAGGCAGAAGCGCACATCTCAGTGATGAAGCGCCTAGTGCTGCGCTCCGCCATGTGGCAGCGTCTGAGAGATCACCTTAATCCAAGGATACTTGTGGTCAAAACCATACCACATCCTGAAGAGCCACGCACTCTCCGTTTTTGTCGTGTTTTTATCCAAACTATTTGCTTCCTGGGGAGAAACAATTAAAAAAAATGCATTGGAAAAATAACAGAATATATTTCAATACAAAAATACATGTCAAACCCAATTAAATTCAACTAGATATGAAAAAAATTAGGTACAGGCCTTTTCATCCAAATGGTAAACTGGTTGCCAAGAAAAATCAGCTCACAGATCTTGCCCTGTGGCTGGAACTCTTGTGACATAATTCAACATTTACTTTTCTTAATAATTCCAATTTTATCAAACTGCTAAGAAATGCCATCATTTTTGACATCAATAAAAATGATCCTTCTGCCAGATTGCTATTATGGGAATTTTTCAGTTTACTTCTGTCAAACTTGGATGGGATTTATTTATGACTTACCCAAAGGTCAAGACTAAAGGGATGTCTAATAAATGTTATACTAGTTTTCACTCATTTTCTTCTTAAATAAGTCACTTGCAAAGGCTATAGTTAATGTTTGATAGCTTTCTGCTTAGAAAAAAACATCCCTCAGCTCTCATCCGATTCTGATTCATAGCGACTGTACAGAGCAACATAGACGTGCTCCCCTAGTTCTTCTGTGGCTATACATCTTTCTGGAAGCAGAGGATCTCAGCGTCCTCCGACAGAGCAACTAGTGGGCTCCATCTACTGAACTTT